GTAGCAAAATAGTAGACTTTTACCAACCAAAAAGTTTTAGTAGCTAATGCATGTACCTTTGGCGACCAAATATTGTTTAGTAGCTAATGTGTCTGCCATTGGCGACAAACAAATTTTTAGTAGCTAATGTGTATACCTTTGGCGACTAAATTTAGTTTAGTCAGCAAAATTAGTCGCTGAATGTGTTATTTCTTGTAGTGAATGTTACCGTTAGTTTTTTTTTATACAAACTAAAGAAGGTTTATCACACACCATTTTTTAGAGTGGGCTTAGTTTTTAAAAAAATTAAATTAAATTAATACGATAAAAAGATAATTTTATCCCCTATCTTCTCCAAAATTACATTTAGAATAAAATGTTAATTAAAATAAAAGAATATATATATATATATATATAATTAAGGATTCATTTAAAATATAAAATAATTAGCGTACTTCTAAAATATGGGGCAAAGAGGAGCGACTACATGGCAGAAGCGAGTGGAACATTTAAGAGCTGAAAGGATTTTTGCACACCCTAGCCTTGTCTTTGGTGAGATTTAAACCCCTAATGCCATTGGATTAAAGGTAGCATATTTCATATTTGAATAATAGACATTGTTAGAAGAATGTGGGTATAGGTAAATTCATTAAATAAAAAAGAGAGTAATTGGGGAGCCTCTAATTACACTTTAAATTTGTTGTTGGACACTCAATTCTCAAATTCAAAATTTTTAATTTTCTTTGATCATTCCAATTAATTCTCACCTGTCTCTCACACATTCCACCCAACTTGCCAGTGACACTACTGCCACTTCCCAACCCATTAGCAAGATTTTTTCCATTGAGTCTCCTTCATTTTCCATTGCCCTTACCCATTCATCTGTTACCCTTCCCCTTCCCTCTAACCTCTGGTGCCACATCCCTTCACATCCCTCACCAATGCCCTCTAACCTCTGGTGCCACATCTCTAGTCCCTAGGGTTGGATAAAGGGTTATCCAATTTGTGAAAACTATCTAATCTGAACAGTTTGCACCTATCTAAGCGATTTTTCAAATTTTTATGGTCGGATGCGGTTTAAGATTTTCCTATGTTATGGGTTGTAGGCTGGTCACGGGTTTTACTCATACCTACACTCACATGCCCACATCTGTATATAACTTTTTTTTTTTATTTTAAATCTAGACCATCAAATTTTCTTGTAAGTTTTGTAAGTGTGTAACTCTAATCTTCTCTTCTCTCACTTACTTTAATCTTATTATCAAACCTATAGGCTCTAACATGATAACATTATAATAATATCACACATTGCCTTGTTTGAAATACTTATTATTCAATTGAAGTTTTTTCAATTTTTTACAAATCCAATTACGTAATTTTTTTTTTCTATGTTTGTTTTTATTTAATTTTCATTCTAATTTTTTGTAATCTAGTTTTAATGAAGGAAAGTGTTGAATCTCCTGCAATAAAAAATATTTAAAAAATGCGAAAAAACAAACCAAAAAATAAATTTTTAGAGGAAAAAACTCAATTCGCAAATTGCTCATAACGGCCCGCACATCCACGAATTCTATCTGCACAAACCACAACCCGCATTGCAAGCGGTTGCGGGTTCAATTTTTCCAAAACCATAAACATGCGGGTAAGTCTAAACAGCAAACTGAACCGTCAAAAACCAATCCACAAGCACCCCTACTAGTCCTTACAAGAGATTTAATATGAGAGAGAGAGAGAGAGTGAGAGTGAGAGAGATAGAGAAAGTGTGTGTGTGAGAGTGTGGGTGTTGGGAGGAGGGAAGACGTGAAAATGGGGTCTATGAAGGTAGTTTGTGGAGATGGAAGGCTGCAAAGAATGTGGGCCTTTGATGATGGAGGTTGCGGGGAAGGAATATGGGCAGGGCAGCTAGTCGTGGGCAATAAAAAAAAAAAGGGTTGAAGGTTGACAGAGAGTTGGAGAGGGATTAGAAGGGTATGAAAGGGCTAAGAGGCGGTGGGGAGTGGCAAGGAAGAGTTGAGAAGAGGTGGAGGGGGGGGCTATGGTGCTATTGGCGATAATGGCGACTGAAGTCTCCCTTTTTTTCACCGATCTCTCACATATTCCATCCAACTTGCCAGTGACACTTTTGCCACTTCCCAGCCCACCAGCAAGATTTTTTGCATTGAGTCTCCCTTCTTTTCCATTGCCGTTACCCATTCAACTTGTTACCCTTTCCCTTCCCTTCACATCCCTCACCAATGCCCTCTAACCTCTAGTGGCACATCTCTAGTCTCTAAGGCTGGGCATAGGGTTATTTGACTTGCAAAAACTGCCTAATCCAAATTGCCCACGCCTATTTGGGCTGTTTCACAAAATTGTCAGTTAGGGTCAGATGTGATTTAAGATTTTCCTATTTTGTGGGTTGAAGGCAGGTCTGCACTCACCCGTCGCATCTATATACATTTATTTATTTATTTTATTTATCTGGACTATCAGATTTTCTTATAAGTTTTGTAAGTGTGTAACCCTAATCTTCTCTTCTCTCACTCACTTTAATTTGATTATCAAACTTGTAGGCTCTAACATTATAACATTATAATAATATCACACATTGCCTTATTTGAAATACTTTTTATTTAATTGAAGTTTTTTTAATTTTTTGCAAATCTAGTTATGTGACTTCTTTTTTTTTTCTATGTTAGTTTTTATTTAATTTTCATTCTAATTATTTGTAATAGAGTTTTAATGGAGGATAATGTTGAATGTTCTGCACTAAAAAATATTTAAAAAATGAGAAAAAACAAGCAAAAAATTAAAATTTTAAAAGAAAGCTCAATCTGCAAACCGTTCCCATATCTGCAAACCCTATCCGCACAAACCGTAACCCACATTGCGTGCGGTTGCGAGTTCAATTTTTTTCAAATCGCAAATATGCTGGAGGGTCCAAACCGCAAACCGAACTGTCAAACATCGATTCGCAAGCACCCTACTAGTCCCTACAACAAATCTAATATGAGAGAGAGAGAGAGAGAGTGGGTGTTAGGGGGGAGCTGTGAAAATGGGGTTTGTTAAGGTAGTTTGTGGAGGTGAAAGGTTGCAAAGAATGGGGTACTTTGAGGGTGGAGGTTGCGAGAAGGAACAGTGGCAAGGTAGCTAGTCGTGGGCAACAAAGAAAAAGGACTGAAGGTAGATAAAAAGTTAGAGAAGGTTTAGAAGGGTATGAGAGGCTAAGGGGTGGTGGGGAGTGGCAAAGAAGAGCTGAGAAGGGGTAGGGAGAAGGGCTATGGTGCTTTTGGCGATAGCAGCAACTGGAGTTGAGAGTGGTAGGGCTTAGGATTTTGGGTTGTCTTCTTTGGTAATTTACCTATTTTAGGAAGTGATTTTTTTTTATTTAAAAAAAACTATTTATTGATTTATTATGAAAAATTGTATAAAAAAAAATATAAAAGTGATGTGATAAGATCCAAATAAGTTAATAAATCAATAGGCTAACTTTTTTTCACCTTTCCAAACAAGACTTTCATTTAAAGATATAATGAAATTCAAAATAATATTGAAAAGTAAGGTACCAACAATAAATTTGGAGTCCATTTAAAGGCTATCGAGTATTGTAGAGAGCTTCTATTTGCATACTTCTCTCAATTTACACTATTTTATTTTTTTTATTTTTTATTTTTTTTAAATTACGATTGTATGTCAAGCAAATTACTTTTATGGACAAAATCTTAAAATTTAATCTCTGCTATATACCTCCACACACTAGGGGTGTTCGCGGATCGGTTTTGTGCGGTTTGCGGTTCGATTTTGACCCGCCCGTATCTATGCGGTTTGAGAAAAAGTCAACCCGCAACCGCCCGCAGTGCGGTTTGCGGTTTGTGCGGATAGGGTTTGCAAATGTGCGGGCGGTTGCGGGCGGTTTGCGGTTTACACTTTTTTCTTTAAAAATTAATTTTCGAGTTTTTTTTTTCCCAGCGAATTTAGACATCAGATTCATTTTATATATTTGTGATAACAATTTTTTGATGAGTTTACAAATAAAAATTGAATATCAATGCATTAAATGAAAGTACTCAAAACAAAGAGACCCTACACTAACATTTTTGCCATGAAAAAAATGTATATCAATGCATTAAAGGTTGTACTCAATTAGAATTGTCAGTTCAGTAATCGATAATCAAACTATAAGTTCTATCGACCATTAGAAGGAAAATTTTATTAGGAAAAAGTGGATGAATCACCAATGAAAATCATATAAGAAACCAAGTTTAGGACTTGATAATTCTACGGCATTAAGAAAGTTGAGAAATACTTAAAAATAAGGATCCTAGTGTCATAGAGAATATAATGGTGCTCCTGTAAAAGTTACAAAGTTGGTATATAAAAAAAAAAATAATAATAATAATTAAAGTGCGGGCGGTTTTTGCGGGTTGCGGGTTTCAACCGCGACCCGTCCGCAACCCGCAAATTTGTCATATTTCAAACCGCATCCGCCCGCATTATGTTTGCGAAACCGCCCATTTATATGCGGGTTGAGCGGATTGGGCGGTTTGAGCGGTTCGGATAAACCATTGCCCACCCCTACCACACACCACTAGACACAACCATGAAATCTCTCCGTTATTTGCCACCCTCCAATCCAACCACTAAACTATTTATTTATTTTTATTAAATAAAATTGACGAAATAATAAATATTTTAATTGTTAAACTTAATAAAAACATATTTGATGTATATTTAAATTAAGTTTAATAATTAAAATATTCTTTCGATTTTAGTTATAAAAATAAATAAATAATTTAGATTGAAAATAAATAAAAAATTTAAATTTAAATTGATAAAATTAAAAAATAAAGAATTATTTTGTCACAAAATTAAAAGTTTAAAAAATTTTATTTTTTATTTTTTATAATTATCCCATTAATTTTTAATTTTAGAAAATAAAAAATTATTCTGAAAACAACAAGTCAGTTGTTAACTTTACGTACTTTTTGTCAAAGTTTTCTTCAAGTGGAGGTAATATGTCTGTTGTCTTTACCTTCCCAGTCCTGACAACAAGTCAAAAGCAAAGTTCCGAGACTCAAGACTGAGCGACCGAGAGAGAGGGTGGGAGAGAGAGAGAGAGAGAGAGAGATCGTTGTGTTTGGTTGCCCAGAAAAACTGGGGATTTGATTAGCCATTGCAAGGTTTTCAAGCTTACTCTCAACTTTTCCCTGAAACCTAAACAACTCAATTTCATTTCTTTTTCTACTTCCCAACTCAGTTGTCCATTTTTGCAGGGATATTTCAAAGTTTCAACCTTTGCACTCCAACTGTTTGTGGTTTTGACTAACAGAGGTGACTAACAAACCCCAGTGGTCAATTTGATGCTAACACTTACAGAGTAGCTCCCATGGAAGGTGAGAAACAGAAGGTGGGTAACAATGAAGTTGTAGTCTCCATTTTGGGTATTGAAGAAACTTCAAGGAGAGACCAAGACAATCAAAGTGGGAGTTCTAAAAGTTTCACAACACTGGAATCTGGGTCATCCTCTTTTCCAAAGAATGCCCAAACAGGTTCTCCTAATGCTGGATTAACAGAGCTTCAAATGTCCACACTTCCAAACTCTTCTTCTCCAGAGATAACCAAATCATGCACAACACCAGATAGGCCTCTCAAAATCCCAGATGAAAATGTTACTCGACGAAGATCAATTCCACGGTCTGCGTATTCAAAACCCAAATCAAGATTGGTGGAGCCTTATTATACCAATGATTCACATTCGGTTGAAGAGAGCAGCCAACTGGTGCATTCAAGCTCACCTTATAGAAATTCACCCAAAACCAATGCTAGTACTCCTAAAGAGAATGTAAAAACAACCCCAGTTACTCCAAAAACGCCGCTATTGGCTTCGCCAGGAGGAGAGGAGGAGGAGGATGATGTCTATAAGACTTCAACTCATAGAGTTGATAAAAGTTTGTGCAAGAAATTGAACATCATGGCTTTACTTGAATGGGTTATGTTTATGTGCATAATGGGTTTTTTAATTGCTAGCTTAACTGTTCAAAAATTTCATGATGCTGCAATTTGGAGTTTGGAACTTTGGAAATGGTGTGTGCTCATATTGGTGATTTTTAGTGGTAGATTGTTCACTGGATGGTTTATCAATGTTCTTGTTTTCTTGATTGAAAGGAACTTTTTGCTTAAGAAGAAGGTTCTGTATTTTGTTCATGGTTTGAGAGTAAGTGTTCGGGTTTTCATTTGGTTGGGTTTGGTTCTTCTGGCTTGGTGTCTGTTGATAAACCATGGGGTCAAGCGATCAAGGAAGACTAGAAGGATTTTAAACTATGTCACGTTGGCTCTTGCATCATGTCTTATTGGGGCAGGAATGTGGATGGCGAAGACATTTCTGGTAAAGCTATTGGCTTCTTCCTTTCATGTCACGAGATTCTTTGACAGGATTCAAGAATCTATATTTCAGCAGTATGTTTTTCAGACGCTTTCGGGGCCTCCATTGATGGAATTTGCAGAAAGGGTTGGCAATACAATTAGTGGTCAATTGAGTTTCAAGAATATGAAGAAAGGAAACCATGTACAGAAAGAAGGCGTGATTGACATAGAGAAGCTTCATAAAATGAAACAAGAGAAGATTTCAGCTTGGACCATGAAAGGATTGATTACAGCGATACGGGGTTCAGGGCTTTTTACGGTTTCAAATGCACTCGATGAGAGTGTTGATGATGAAGGTGTTGAGCAAAAAGATAAGGAGATTACTAGTGAGTTGGAAGCAAGGGATGCTGCGTATCGAATATTTAAAAATGTTGCAAAGCCTGGCTGCAAGTATGAATATTATTTTTTTGAATTTTTACGCACTTACATTATGTTTGCTTGTCCTGGAATGGTCTCATTGTTTTTATTGTTATACCATCTAGGTATATTGAAGAGGAGGACCTCTTGCGTTTCTTGAAAAAGGACGAAGTGGATAATGTGCTCCCAATGTTTCAGGGCGTAGCAGAAACAGGAAAGATTAAGAAATCGGCTTTACAAAAATGGGTGGTGAGATCTCTGTTGGTTCGTTTATTTCGTATAGGTTCCATGCAAGTTTTTTTTTTTTTTTTTTTTCTTTTCTTATAATTTTCTTCATGAAGTCGTGTTTTTCCAGTATAAATAGTTAATAGAATTTCACATTTCCTCTCATCCATATTGATTGTATCCTAAAATGTAACTATCACTTGTGCTACCTTACCACTTATGTTACATGGATTTGGGTACGAGTATTAGGTGCAAGTGTGTGTCCAAGCGTCAAATTTTCATAAACTTAAATCATAGGATATGTAGGATACGTATCCAAAAGTTGAGTTTCTTCTTTTTCAATCATTGTAAAAAATTATAGGATCTAAGGCTATGTTTATTTGGCTCTTTGGGGAGGAGGGTTGGATTAATAGTCCGTGGGATCCACTTAAAGTGTTTGGTTGGAGACATGCGTGAGGAGATTAGCTATCCCAGTAATACCCTTTTGCAGGGATATTTCAAAGTTTCAGTAATACCCCCCCCTCCCCCCCCGAATTGGTAGGATTACCAATCCCATAGAGAGGTTAGGATTAGAAATTGAGTGAGGGAATTAGTGAATTTTTAAGCAAAATTTATAATTTTTAGAACCAATATATATAAATATATAATATTAAAAAAATACTAAATATTAATTGTATATTAATACTATCTATAGTATTACTAATTCGGTGGTGTACAAACAAACGCTATTTATCCTACATCTCTAACCTAATATCACTACACTAATAATCTCCTCATTCAATCACACCGTACTCTTAATCTCCTCCATCTTATAGAGCCAAACAAACATGGCCTAAGTGTCTAAATTGAGTACGGATGTTGGACACATACCCTACACCCTTACCCTTGTCATATATTATGGACACGGGTCCTTTGTAGGAAATAGAAGAGTCCATGTAACAGTTACTGCTAAAGGAAACAAGAAAGATTGCAAAGCTGCGTAAAGATGGAACATTTTTCCATAAAATACAATTTGCAATATTGACCTAGACTACTATTGAAGTGGATATTTTATTTCAGTGAAAGTTTAGTCATATAAACTATCCTTCACAGAGAGTTCGGGGTTTAAAATAATAATACTAGATTCCTAGGGGACATGCTTGTGTGGTTTTGTCCAGAATATGCCTGCTCTTTTTGATAAGATAACATTGGAAAAGGATATAAACCAATTTGTATGTCTCCACTTCATATAAATGGATAGAAAAACCTGTAGTATGCAGGGACTTTTGTTTTTGGCTCGAATAAATTAGTTTTGTTTGCAGGTAAATGTCTACAATGAACGTAAATCACTGGCGCATTCTCTAAACGACACTAAAACAGCCATCGAGGAACTGAACAAAATTTTATCAGGAATTATACTTGTGGTGATCATTATTGTGTGGTTACTTTTGATGGGATTTGCAACAACCCAAGTGATCGTCTTCATTTCATCTCAGCTTTTACTTGTGGCATTCATGTTTGGAAACACTTGTAAGACTGTATTCGAAGCCCTCATCTTTGTATTTGTGATGCACCCATTCGATGTAGGTGATCGTTGTGTCATTGATGGGGTACAGGTAACTCTCTCAGCCTAGAATACATAAAGTTTACAGTACTGAAATTAGTTTGATTTGTTTATCATAGTATGTTGAAATTTCATAGATGGTCGTTGAAGAGATGAACATTTTGACAACAATCTTCTTGAGATATGACAACGAAAAGATATTCTATCCGAATTCAGTTTTGGCTAGCAAACCAATCAGCAATTTTTATCGAAGCCCAGAGATGAGTGATACCGTGGAGTTTGCTATTGATGTGTCGACTTCGGCTGCAAGTATTGTAGCTCTAAAAGCCAAAATAAAAGGGTATGTCAACTCCATTCTTCTGGGTCTTCCAAATGTATACCACTATAACTATGACAAAGTAAACATAAGGACTGAATTAGATCAAGGTTGTCATCTTTATAGGATTTTTTATCACTCAAACCATGCTATTATGAAGCTTTATTTCAAAGGCCGCTATAGCTTAGAGTTTGAAGGCTCGACTCTCTATTTTCTGTGGGAATTAACACATGAAAAATTGATGTCAGGTGACTTCTATTGTTTGCAAACATCTTGTTAGTCGAGTACCTTTCTATGTATGTGTTGTTTACACATTTCACATGATTGCAAAGCTCATTTTCCGGGCATTTTGAATATTCAACACTTGAATTTCTGATATGTAGCTGCTAAAGTGTGGAAATGTTCCTAGATTCTGGCTATAATCAAACATTCCAACTACATTCTCATCTCATTTTTATGGTCACTTTTCATATCTCATTATTTTATTGTTAATTCTTTTCATATTCTTGTCAAAGTGGTTAACTTTTGTTGTTGTTGTTGTTGTTTATAAGAGTTTGACAACAAAGAGGACGAACCTGTTGTTTATAAATTGATGGTTCTACTTTAACCCTTTAGTGTTTGCATGTTCCCATTAAATAAATGAAAATTAAATACAATTTTCATATTATCTTTTTCTTTTTGTCTTTTGATATTGTTTTTTCAATTAGATGACATCCTGAATAAGGCAGCTTTCGGGTACTTTTCAGGTACTTGGAGAGCAAACCTCAACACTGGCGTCCTAACCACAGCGTGCAAGTTAAGGAGATTGAGGATGTGAACAAGATGAAAATGGCACTATTTGTTAATCATACCATAAACTTTCAGAATTATGTGGAGAGGGGCAACCGAAGATCTGACCTAGTTCTTGAGCTAAAGAAAATCTTCGAGGAGCTTGGTATCAAATTTCATCTTCTTCCTCAAGAAGTTCACCTCAGCTATGTTGGGTCTTCAGCCCCAATGTTTCCAAATGCTTCGTGTTGATGATCATTTTGCTAGCATGAGAATATTCCTACTCTCCGACGAGTACGCACCTTTGCTCTCTACCTCATATTGAGCTTGCATGACTGCTTGTATCATGAGTTATAGATGCCTGATATTGGCATATAAAAAATCAAAGAACACTAGAACCACAGTTGTATACACTCTACACAATGTCACATGAATATGCACCTCCCTGTAGCATTCCGTCCCACATTGGTTAGGTAGGAAAAGCTTTTGGGCTATATAGGTGAGTTCACATCCTCTTCTAGTAACAACGGTGTTTTAAAGCCATGAGGGCCTATCCCAGTTCACATCCCTTTCTAGTAACAACACATTTTAAAGACGTGTGAGCCTAGCTCAAAGTGCACAATATTGTCACAGTGCGGGATGAGAATGTTACACCCTCTCTCTCTTAGTGCGCAAGAGTTTGTGAGTGTAGCACAAAGCACACAATATTGTTACAGTCCAGGATGAGAATGTTACACTCTCCCTCTCTTTGTGCGCAAGAGTGTGTGAGCGTAGCACAAAGCACACAATATTGCTACAGTCCGGGATGAGAATGTTACACTCTCTCTCTCTTAGTGCGCAAGAGTTTGTTCATGCGGGGTGCTGACTTCTTGTGTTAATTCATTCGAACTCGTACTTGGTGGCATTTTCTCTCATAAAGCATGATTTATCATTTTCAAAACGGCTCAGGCTCCCATTAGGTCTATTATTTTCTTTTCTTGACTAGTTTGTTGAAAAGAAAGAATAATATATTGTTGCACTTTTTCTATAAAAAAGCCAATTACCCATCCAATCTAATAGCATGGATTGACTAGCTCCATTTTCTTAATCTTTCCTTGTCATCTCTCCAAGCTCGACTCTCACTTTCAAAATTGTGGCATTCAATGAAGGTATAGATAATGTTTGCCTGTCGATTGAGTTTCCGAACAAACTGGTTGGCTAACGAATGTATGGAGAACCTGATAGCTCAGTCAAGTGTCTGTAGATGGTAATGGATCTTATATTGAAACTGTCATCCAAAGATGGTTTTGGATTTTTTATTTATTTATTTTATATTTGACGACCAGTACAATGCAGGAGCTGGAAGGATAGTTATCTGTAAACAAGTTACGGAGGAGACAAGACGGGCAGTGATTTTGCTTCATCTTCTGGAGGAAAGAGTTCTTAAAGCTGGACTTCTAACCTGGAAAATGGATAATGCCTTCTTGCTGCAGTACCAAAATTTCAGCCTTCTGAACTAAACCAAGTCCTCATCTTTGATTTGCAAATGTATTGTACCAAAAATAGTTCTATACAATATCCTAAAACTTCTAGTTTAGGTTTATTCATTTGATAATTTGTAATGTGGTAGTTTCTCAGTGCTCCATTATGTTTGGCAAATTATACTTATGGTTGCTATAATTTATGTCATATTAATTTGATCTTTATAGTTTTAAAAGTATCAGTTTTTCATTATTATTTTGCATTGCGATAATTTAGTCCTATTAATAATATATATGAAAAAATTGGAATGAAGAAATTGAATGGAAACTAGGAGCAAAATAATTAAGTTAAAAGAGAATAAATCATTTACAAATTAAATATTGTTAGTAGTTGCCGGGAAATTTTTTTTGACCCCAAGCTACAAAATTTAAAATTTATTGTTTTTAACCCCCTCTCTTCATATTAAAATTATCCGTTGCCACCAGCTTCGGCTACCCTCCCCTATCCTCCATACCCAACTCTAGTCACCACTCACCAAACCTCCTTTGCCTTGCCTACCATCCCTAGCCATTTTCCACCTTTGGCGCTACCCCCCTTTGCCCCCCTTTCGCTCCTCTCTCCTCCTTTCCCCATCCCTCTTTTAGCTTCTCTCTCCTCCTCTGCACACAACCCATTGCATCTTCTTTCAATCCCTTTCCACCTTAAGTGCCAGCTTCCCCAACCCTTTCCCCCTATCGTGATATGCGATATCCCTACCTTCTTCTCCCAAATCCCATTGCTGTCTCTTATTCTTTTCCTTAATGTGTGTGCATGCACGCACGCAAAGGTTTGGACAGGAAGAGATTGGTGCTGTTTGGTATAATTGTTAAAACAGATTATAGATTATAACTTAACAGATTATAAATTATGACTTTAATCCGAAGCTGTTAATCTGTTTGGTGTAACTGTTGGATTATAGATTTAAGTTGCTAAGTAGTGTTTGTTAAATAAGCTGTGAAGTAGCTTTTTCAATTAACTTTTATTTTTTATTATTCACTATTTGTCTACATTTCACATAAAAAATAATAATAATATTCTATAATCCATTTGGGTCTTTTTCTATTTTTTAAAAAATAAAAAATAAAAAAAATCTAAGAGTATAATCGTGAATTAATATGTCCACAGTAGAAGCTGATAATCAGAAACAAGGGGTGAGCAGCTTCTTAGAATCAGTTTTTTTAACTTAAAATAAGTTGTTAGAATCAGAAACTGTTTGAAATAAGTTTAACCAAATAGTCCAAAATAACTTTTTAAAAGCCAGAAGTCATAAGTTGGCTAAAAAAAGCCTCACTAAACACCCCCATTGTCAGTGGTGGAGGAGGTGGGGTCTAAAGTAAAAAGTGACATGCTAATAGCAGTAGTCTTACAAATTGACAGATAAAATTTCTCTTGAAAAAAGTGAATGAACTATTTTGTCCCTTGATGTCATTTTAAGTGTAAAAGAAAAGAATCGATTGGATTAAATTGACAGATTATGAAAATTTTAAGTAAAAAATTGATATAATTAGAACTAAATAGATCAAAATGAGATGAGGCAAATTGATAGGGAGATTCTATTCCTGTCATTGAACCAAATATGGGTTGAGTCTCAGAAGGGCTGGGAGATTCTATTCCTGTCTAATGGGTCAATCCTGTAGTGACCTTGGGCCTGGGCATACCATCAACTCTCCAAAAATATCAACCCCAAAAAAACAAAAAAAAAACCAATATGGCCTGTCAAACCCTAGCGAGTACACTATCCAAAATCTGAAATTGATGTAGAATGCGGTGTAATAGAATTGGATAACCTTATCCACCATAGCCCAGTAGAGAAACTGCCACCTAGGACAAAGATAGAGGATGACAAAGCTATGTATCTCAATTTTCCACCACTCATCATACCCTCTCTATCCAACTTCCGATTCCTCCCTCGAAACCAACCCATATCAACACCATCCTCACATTGAACACTACCAAAATTCACAAGAGGAAGACAAGACCATGGCCTCTACTTCTGCAATTTTGGCAGCAACGCCACTAACGTCAGCCACCCAAAAGAGGTTTCCGAGCTCCGCCGCCTTCTTTAAGCCACTGCCGGTGAGGCCCTCCAAGGCCGCGGTGGTTGGATCAAAAACAACCATTGGGAAGTTTGAAGTCAAGGCTTCAATGAAAGAGAAAGTGGTGACGGGATTAACAGCGGCGGCAATGACAGCCTCCATGGTGATTCCGGACGTGGCCGAGGCTGCAGGATCCGGGGTTTCGCCCTCTCTCAAGAACTTCTTGCTCAGCATTGTAGCCGGTGGCGTTGTGCTCACCGTCCTGGTTGGTCTTGTGGTAGGAGTCGCCAACTTCGACCCTGTCAAGAGGGGCTGAGAGAGAAATAGTTGTTTTGGGATTGTACTTTGGCATTCATTTTCCAGCTTGATGTATCTGTCTAATATTTGTAGTCATTGTCTGTGTTACGTGCGTGTGTTGATACCTCGTTTTTTAAAAAAATATTTTGACTCGTTTTCCTATAAACAAATTGAGGATCAAAATCCAAGCACCATAATGTGTGTGTAATCGACGACTCTATTAGCTTTAGTTCTATCGAAAGCATGCGAACATCAGAATCGAAATTCCATTTTTCTTTTTTTCTTTTTTTGCAAGACGAATACTACACATCCTTGTGTTAGAACAGCTTCAGCAACGCATTCATCAGAGTACAATTATGGCAATAAAATGAGCTTAGTACAGTGGCTGCAACTTACTAGAAGCAATAATAACAGCTAAAAAGCAACAGCAGTTTCAATCACAAAAAATCATCAGAAATGTAGAATTACTATCAGCTTTACATCAGTTTTCCACCATTTGAATTAGCAAGAATTGCTCTATAATTTCTGTTAAGAATCCAACTAGATTTTGAAATTTATTATTACATCTATTTTGCACTCTTTATATTTGTGGCGGTGAGCTGGTAGACATGGTAGTGGTGGTGGTGGTGGTGGTGTGGTGATGGGGTGGTGGAGTGAGTGGTGGTGGCAACAATGGTGCTGACAGTGGAGGCAAGATGGTGGTGACGACAGTAGTGGTGGTGGCATGGTGGTTGTAGTGGAGTGACAGTAGTGGCAAGAGTGGAGTGACAAATTGACAATGATGGCGGCAGTGTTACGGTAATGGTGGTGGCAGCGGTGATGGTGGTTAGTGATGATGGAAACGGCAGTAATGGTTGTGTTAGTGTTGATATGCTGGTGTTAGCTGTGGTGAGTGGTAATATGGATGAAGGGGTGGTGGTGATGGTAGCAATGATAGTAGTGACATTGGTGGGGTGATGATGATACACCTCAGTAGTGCTACAATCATAAGAAATCGCATTCAACTTTCAGAATTAAGTAAGAATTTTGTAGAACAAATGTGGTTATTAAACAGACTTAATTTTCACTGAATATATTCAATTATTAAGTAATGCATTAAATTATCAATAGATCAATTACGGCCAAGTAATTATCAAATTGCAATATCTAAAATCCGAATTGAAGTGGAAAATTTGAATCAAGAATTACATGTAACCGTACCTTGTTCTTGGTGAACATTAATATATATTTGTTGACATTTATTCATAAAATCAGTAACTACGAATTCATTGCCAGTTCCTCCTAAACATAATCGGACCAATATTCTTCACAGAACTAATTGTACTGCATCACTAACCATTCAATTCAGTTCTGAATTATTCAGTGAGGGCGAACTCTCAAGATCAAATCAAGCAGGTGTCTGCTTTCAGCAGAATAGTTCACCTTGTCTGCCTTGACAACTGTGATTTTCACCCTCTGTTCATCACCATACATTTCCTCTTTGATTTTGAGCCTAAACAGATATTCTCTGAAGAGACTGCCACGGATGATTTCTGCAAACCTGACATCATCCTGCTCTTCATATTTCAAGAAGTACAACTCCTTTGCTGAGCAACCCACAATCTCTTCACCTGATTCCTGAAAAGAGGTCACCCATGTCAACCCCGTATGATCCTGAACTTGAGCTTGAAGAAGGTATCTGTAATCACACTCCTCGAATTCCTGATTGCACCGGTCACATTGCCATCTTGAATTTCCCGACCTTGTCACTTTTTTATTACACTGTCTATCTCCAATCATCAATGGGCAAGCTGTGTAGCAGAACGTATCCGTCTTGATGAATGATATGGATGCCTTCACTGTAACCCAGTCTGGCTTATCTGATCTTCCCAAGCCTTCGTCCTTGATCTGAGACACAGTTTTACGAATCTCATTCTTTGGTCCTCCAGTCATGTCTCTAGAGATAGATTGAGAAGCAATATTTTTGCCCCGTTGATCAAACCAAACTCTCAAGCTTTGGGCCTCTGGAGAATCTGGATTTATGAAGAGCTGGGTGGAAGAAATGGTCCCTATAGATTTCCCACTGAAGTCGTTAACTTTCCCAGCTTTGACAGCTAAAATCGGGAAAAGCCCACAGTCAACCAGTTCTTGCAGATTTTGACCTTCCCTATTGCAGAAATCACCCCATAGAGTTAACTCAACACTCCGGCCGGATTGGTCCTTCAGATTTAGAATTCTTCTCTGAGTTTCCATACCATTCTTCCTCAAGATAGGGACTGAAGGGTTCACAGATATTACAACACCAATAATGTCTATGATTGAATTATTTTCAGCAACCTCAATTTCACTGATAGGTCTGAAGGAGAATTGCTGTTGTGGTATAGAACCATCTTCATCAGGGCAAAGATCGATCGTTGAAGTTGCCTCCAAAAATATCTCCCATTCATTTTTCAGATGGTTGAAGTTCTTCTGGGTGGGTTTCAAGCTACCCTTTGATATCAAATAGACTTTACCAACCTCAATAATATCATGGAAGCGATCAACAACAGCATTGAAGCAGGTGGCTCGTATTTCACCTCCATCAGAGTCAAGAAGGTCAAAGGAGAACACCTTCCCATCTCCCCGGGCATTGTTGTAACGGTGGATCTCTCCTTTTGCAGTTACTCTTGCCTTGATTGCCCACCGACCTTGATAAGGATTCAAAGCAGCAATTGGAATTATTCGTGCTGGTGCTTCATTCTTCATAATTGACCCATGGGCTTTGTAATTTGGAGGCGGTTGGTATGGAGGTTGAACAGTTGGGTGAAAACTCTGCATATTGTTTCCAGCATTTTGGGCACTCTTATTATTGGTAGCCATAGTTGTGCGCCCAAAGCTGTCATCAGGCACTGGTTTTTGTCCTACTGAATCAGATTCCATGAACACTTTTGGATTCCCAATTACTTCACATTCTGATATAATAGTTTCCATGTTTAGAACAACAATGATCCTGCAATTAGAAATCAAATATGTAAATTCACTCTGAAATTAAAAATCAGAAACATGATCCAGTTTCATCAGAAAAGGAAAGCAACCTTCCCCGGTGGGTTCAATGTTTACAAATTCATAATATTAAGTGGTAAAGAAATTAGAATGAGCCATATCGCTTTGGGTTATAGTCTTTAGAGTATGAGACACAAAGTTTTAATTCCCTCACTTATAAAAAAGCCAATGCAAACTAACTGCAGCAAATGCAGGCTAGCTAGTTTGCAGCACACTAAGAAAAACAGTAATGACTCTCTATTTGGTTATTTTACAAATCAAAACTGGAAAATTCATTGATGACGATTTATGGCCTTATTATTGATATATGTTAAAGTGAGCTATTGTGAAATTCTTAAGAAGGTTGGTAATTTTATCATATGTGCTTTCTTTTAACTGTTATACAAGCAGACCTTGCAACCACTTTCACATTAAAATCTACTGTTCAACTTCAAATTAGACAAGAATCATGACTAGTGCCTTTGTACCTCTACAGCTGACAGTACCTCCAATCCAAAACACACAGTGTGTGTATATATGTGTCTGCATGTTTATTCAATTATACATCATTGACAACGGTTGTTAAGTTACCTTAAAACAACTGAATCATCCCCTCTTCACGTTATGACTAGTAAAATTCTAAATCCTAAAACATTCCCACCTTAACTCAGCCAACCAAGTCATCCCCACTCAGTGTTGTTCACATACAGAGAGGACATCTATCTATCTTCTATCTATCTATACTATTATAAATGGAAGGCATGAGTTGGTGTTGTTGTCTCATTTTTTTGGTTTATCAAAAATGTCTCTATAGCAGTTACAGGGGCATTTTTTTTTTGTCGCTATATGCACTAATTTTTTTTTTTTTTTTCAAATCTTTCAACTTCTGATTTTGCAAATTCATTTTAATTTTCAGATTTTGAATTCAATCATATAGTTTACAATTTTATTTTTCCGAAACAAGATGCGTGCTAGTGTATATATACAATGATACACATAAATGTACACACATTTGTGTGTGTCTAATTGAGTGAGGCATGAATTGCATTGCATCAATGTCACTCAGATACAGCATACAGACAACCATTTGCATATATAAATGTGAAAATTTGTGTCTATTCAATCGATATATATCATCAATCCAAGCAATTAAATCACCATCAACACTTGAAATCCTAGTCTCTTCAGATTATAACTAATGCAATTCAACCTCCTAAACCTATATTTTTCCAAACTGCAACAATTTCAAATATACAAAATCGAGTGAGGCTTGAGAGAGAGAGAGAGAGAGAACGAGAGAGATCGTACTTGCGATTCTGAACGGTACTACAGATATATTCGATCAACTGAATGACAGAACCTTTGAGGACTCGGCCGGACTTGACTCGGTCGTTGAGCTGAGTAGCGAGCATTGCGTGCTGAGTCGACACACCATCGGAGAGCATGAAACGGTACCGTTCCTGATTGTTACCGATGAGTTTGATGTCCAGAACCTGAACCACCGGCTTCGAGTTCACATCTCCGGCGTTTATTGCCGGAATCGCGTTCGGAGTCAAATTGATCGGCATAGACGAAACCCTAGGAATCGAAGAGATAGAGATTTGGAATTGAAATTGTTGAAGGTGAATGAAAAGGAAATGAATTTGAAATGAAAATTGAATTGAAGTCAAAGGTTTTCGATTGGAAAATTGAATCAGAATTTGAATCTGAGATGATGTATACTACAATGGATTATCAGAGAAGTTATGATGATTTTTTGTTTGTTTGTTTTTTTTGTTTGTTTTGAGAGGCCAATTTCAGACTCTCTTCGTCAAAGAAAGATTGGCGGGGAGGGAAGTACCGACTCACACTCACTCGTCAAAGAAAGACTTTTATGTATTTATTTTATATTTTTTTAAAATTTAAATTATACAATATTTTAGTATATACTATAAGTCATCAGTAAATAAAACTGAGAAACAAAAAAAATGATACTAGTAATTAATTAGATTAAAATGTTTAATTTATTTTTTATTATTCTTATTTTAAAACTTTACCGGCATCTATTTATATTCAATATTTAAATAATAAACAGAGAATAACACTAATTAGATATAGAGCTGTTGTGTTTTTGTTTTTCATTTTTATTTATTGAACAATACTGACTCTTTTTTTATATTTATGAATTTAAAAATGTTACCATCACCCATTTTGGAATGAAATTGTATCAAAATTATGTGACTTTATTGTAGAAGTTTAAACTTTTTATATTTTTTATTTTTAAAAATTACAAAAAGCAAATATATTGCTAGATAGAAAAAGTTATTTACATACTTAGTTAGCTCATGAGTTGATGTTTGAAATGATCTAAATAAGTACATTTTTTAGGACTGTTCAAAAATCTGTTCAAATCGGTAATCCGGACTGAACCAGACCGAATCATACGTTTTGGTTCGGTTCTATTAAGAATTGGTTCGGTTTCGGATTAAGAAATATGAGAACCGTAAAAACGGTTCGGTTAATGGATTTTATGAAAAAATCGCAGTTCGAACCGAACCGAACCAAATTTTAAAATATATATATATATAATATCAAGTTTTATTTTTATTAATTAGTTTTTTATAATTTTAATGATATTAGGATGGTATAGATATGTAATATTAAGTAATGTCTTAATATTATTAGTTTTTATCATGAGTTAAATGTAATTAGTTTGAGTAATTATTTTGTTAATATTAACAATTTATTATTGTAAATAAAAATTTTTGGAACCATAAACCAAACCGAAACCGAACCGTTTTTTCGGTTTGGTTCTGGTCCGGTGTTACAAGTGTAACGGTCTGGTCTGGTTCTCAAAATCACAGAACCGTTAGAATCGATTCGGTTCTTGGATTTTCTCAGAACCGAACCAATCCGGACCGTGTACACCCCTAACATTTTTTGATTTTTTACGAAAAAACGTAAAATATGAATTGAGTTTGAAATGATGTAGTAGAAAGATAATGTGATTTAAATGAGATGATATGATTTAAATAGGATAGTAACTTTTTGACTTTTTATTTTTTTTGTATTATGCCAAATTAGACCTTAATTACAAATCTATGAACTTTAGATATAACTAGAAAATTAAAAAACATACTATAAACTTTCATATTCGTGAACACTGTAGCATTTCAATCTACTTGCACTTTAAAATTTCAATAAAAAACTTGACAGTCCATAAATATGAAGACAAATGATAATTTGTGCTCCCGAGCCTATTGCAAAGCATCCAAACATGCTCTTGCTTCTTATAGTAATGGGGAAGGCAAATGTAGAAGCTTGGTTGAACGTTCTTTTGTGGCCATTTATAAATTGAGTTATCTTGTTGAATTATTTTTGTTTTTAATAATTTTTTTTTTTAAATTGTAAATCAAAATATTTTATTTTCTAGATTCATTTATACTAGATATTTTTTAAAAAATTTCAAAAAAAAAAAAAATAGTTAAAACAAAAATGAATGCCATAGCATATAAAATCAACTTAGAAGCCCCAATCTAACAATCTCCAATACAATATCGAAGTTAGAACCTCATAGAAAAGATCATCCCTTAGAACAAAACTTTTGAATTGCTAGAGAGAACAAAATTTTTGGAACAAAATTGCAAGTAGGTGGATCCTCCAGCATCATCCTCTTTTATGGTTACCCAAGCCGTCAAAGAGAGACTAACATTATTAACTCAGATATTGAAAAAATAAAAATTCTAAATGGATTCGAAGGAAACTAAAGCGAATGACAGCTAGTACCAATGGTTTAAGCCATGGGGGACTCGATCTCAGTTGGCATAATTGCCGGCCTGATGTGTTCCTCTTCCTCTAATGGAGTATGGATTGTGACGAGATCTGGAAGTGGTGTTACCAGACCCTGCTTCCCCTTGGGATCCCAATCGAGCATTATCTTGACCTTGATTCCAAGTAACCCCTGCATGACGGAGAAGAACATGATCGGAGGACACTTCGAAATTTAATTTTTTTTCAAAGAAAGTCTGTCGGAAGATAATCAGGCGTATAGAAAGTTGGCCTGAAGATGTGGCACTATAGGTAATTAACCTAGGAAGCATGGATACAAATACGGATACAAGATACAGATACTACGTACAAAACCTAAAAAAAGCATGTTACAGATACGATGGGAATACATTTGTACAGAAAAATAAAACAAAAAACAAGAGTTTATGCATTTAGTTAATATCATTAATTCAATACATGCCAAAAACAAAAGCAAGCAAATAAAACAAGTTCTGTTAAAAGTTATGAATCTTCAATGTCAACTCCCAGTTGTTTCTCTTCATCTATGAGAAAGAGAGAGAGATAAGAGGGGTATTTTGGTGAAGATAAAGGTACAAAGAAAAAGAGAAGGAGAGAGGACTGACCTACCGAGGTTGATGGTGTTGCATCGTTTCCTCATTTCATTCTCTACAGAAGCTAGGGTTCCTCCTTTTTTCTTTGTTAGCATATTTTGGCATTTTGTTACTTGCATTAAACTTTATAATTTTAGAGTTTCATATTTAAAATCTTTCAAAAATTATGTTTTGACCCCTTCGCATCTTTCTCGTATCCATCCTTATTTGAGACGTATTCAAAATTGAATAACAAAAAATATTTTTTGGATACTCTTCAAACATATCCGATACATATCCAGTTGTAAAAGTATATCCATATCTCATAAGTATCAGATATGAACATGTACCTTTTTTGGAGTATTTGTGCTTCATAGTAATTAACCAATTATTGTTGTTGTGGGTGTTCAAGCAAATTAGACACAAACCTGTCTCAGAAGAACATGTCTGACAGCTGAATCAATATATTCATTAACTGGCTGACCAGAAGAGATCATGTATCCATCCTTAAACTTCATGGATTTGGCATGCTGTGCTCTTAGCTTTCCGCTAACAATCACCTGAAAACTAACCTCTATTAGATTCACATTTAAAAGCAAATTAAATCATCAATAATTGAATACTAAAGGCAAAAGGTTAGTCTGTGAATGTACCTTGCATCCCTTTGCCCCACTTTCCATAATAAATCTAAAAACACCATAGCAGGCCCTGAGGTAGGAAAGAACCGTCAGGCTCATTAATCCCGGAGCATTTATGCCACAAGAATACAACATTAAGGCCATGTTTGTTTGGGTGGACATGAGCTTGGGATTGGACTAATAATCCAATAAAATTATTAATCCGATGTTTGGTTAAACAATTAAAGTACGGACTAATTATTTTAAACTTGACTATTAGTTAAGATAGGATACATAATCCAATGGATTCGTAGGGGTTTGAAAAGCAAGGAGCATAACTCTGTAAGTGGCAAATAACCAATGCAATATGAGAAATTAATGCAAAACAGGTGAATGAGTACAAATCTATAAAAAATAAAAATAAAAAATCTCAAAATGTTCCAAAATATGAACTGGGAAAAAAAACAAAACAAAACAAAATTCAGAGCAAAAATAAAGACTAAAACAAAAAATATATATACACATAAGCAGAGACAGTGTCATCCTTTTCAAGTCGAGAGCTAGAATCGGAGTCAAAGTTTGGGAAGGCAGCATAAGAGTTAGCAAGTACAAAACCACTGCATATAAATTGTTGAGTTTGAACCAAAATCTAAGAAGTATAGACATAGGCACAGATGCTCTCATGTACACAGGTACGAACACAGGATACTGCAATCTAAAAAATTGAATTATCCACCATTTTAAACATATTCAATCCATCAATTTAGTAAATACTTTCCAATTTCTAGATTAACAAAAATACAAACAAAAAAATTAATAAATACTAAAGCTTCAAAAATAGTAAGTTAGAGTTAAGATTATATATAATCAGAGTTTACTAATTTAGGTTATAGGGATGATAAGGTAAATTAATTAAAGTTAATAATTTATTATACTTATTAATGGCATTATATTATTAGATATCATATATAGATATATAGTATATAAATACAATATATGTTGAAGCGGTCAGTTTCAGTTTAATTCGGTGCACAAGGTACTTGAACCAGTACTAAACCGAAAATAAAAAAAAATCAAACTAAAAAATCGCACAGACTAATTCTTATTAAAAAACAAACCAAATATAGCTAGTTTGGTCCGGTTCAAATAATTTTTTCGATTTTTCTTACATTACATCCCTAGATACAGACACAGCAACAATATTGCAAAAAAAAAAATACATTTTTTATTAAATATGTCTACGAATATAAATTTATAAAGGAATTAATGTATAAGTGGGTGTATTTTTATTTTTGTTACTTTCCTCTTTGATTTCATATATTTTACTTTGATTCCAAATCGGCTTTCTAAAATTAAAAATAAAAAATAAAAAAAACTCACAAAGTGTCCTGAGTTGTGTCTAAGACGGCTCCCCAAAGTGTTCCACAAAAAAATAATAATTAAAGATATTGACAAACCACGTGGTGTGTCCAATTAAAATGAGGTGTTAGTGCTTCATAGACTAAAACGAAAATAGAAGGCTGTTGGTGTAAAATGCAACTTCTGCCACGAGCATTTAACATTAACAAAATCCAAAATTTTTGGCACCAATGGCGGAATCTAGCATTCTAAATTCCTAAATTTGACACGAGAGTTTCACATGGACTGGATTTTTTCATGACATGATATACAAATGAGGAGCTATATACAATACAAGGCTCATAGGTTAAAACAGAGAGACTATCTTTAATTTGATCATATGATGCAGAAATTAAAGATGCCCCTGGCAGTCCCATCAAAAAACTAAGTCGTACAATTCACGTACAAGCCTCACCATAGAGAAGCATCGTTGATGTAGTTTTCAGACACAAAAATGGTAGATAAATAAACTATTTGC